ACATTCTCGCCTGAAATGCTTGTGTACATTGATTGCACATCAAAACTTAGTAACAGTTTCGTCCCCGCCAGCTCAATGTTTTAGATCTTTTGAGAAAAATAATATGCATTCTTCGCGTTGTTCGAGCGTTTGTCATTTACTTTCTTGAGCTTCAAGCGGATGAATTTCGCTAGTTTTTGTGTTGCTCCATGCTTGTTTTTGACTATTAATCGCAGCGGTTTTCCTTCCTTGTATATCTTCGGTAGTCTGTAAGCTGTCTGTAGTCTTGCGTCCTTTTTAATTAAATACTTCATGATCCGTCTGTTGATTTTTCCGTTAGTATGTATTTTCTTTAGCATATCCTTCAGTGTCCCGTTGATCTTCATGGTTGGATTCTCCCCTTAGTACTTGATAAGTATCCCGGTCACCTAGGGTACTTTCCATTTTCTCCGCATACTGTTTCCTCTCCATTACCACCGTCGCTTGTCCCTTATCTGCCTCAAGAACTAATTGGTCATTCTTACCCAACAAGCATTGAGTAACCCACAAGCCAGTGAAATTCATTTGCTTGAAGCTCAAGAAAGTAAATAACAGACTCTTGAACATAGTTTTCTGCCTTACAGTAAGGATGAAAATTTTCCCCTAAATTTTGCCAAGCGGAAATCACTATTATTTTATTTCCGAATGCTTTATTACTAACTTAACCCCTGGCATTAGCCTTGGCCAATTAATGAGGTCATTATTTGGTGAGTTTTTCATACAGACCTACAAAGCTAGTTCGTACGTTGTTATCTCCGAGGGCCCTAAACATAGAGGTAGTCTAAAGACAAATGAGTCAATAAATATATCGTATGCCAATAAGGAAGTACATAAGCGGTAAATATTTCATTATATAAAACACAATAAACCTATAATCGGCGCCTGTTACATAGAAGTATGTAAGAGATTGGAAGAATACTTAGAAGATTTTAGAAGGCTAATCAAGCATATTGAAAAGTTTTCCTCGATAGATTGGAGAATGAGTAAAAAGTAGCTTTATTTACAGCAATTTGTTGTATTGATTTATGTACATAGGCGACAGAATGAGGGCCGAAGTCGGAGAATAATATAAAGCGAAATACATAGTGGAGGCGAAGAGTAGAGCAAGGAATAAAGATGTAGAAGAGAAGAGACAGACTGAAAGAGGCAGATCGGTAAAGAAAATAAGAAATAACTGTGTAAGAGAAAAAACAGTTAAATCAGATAATAATGAATTGTGGCAAATTGGAAGCTGAAATAGGATTTATCATTACTCTTCACAAGTGATTATTCAATGTTTGCGCCGACGCTTGGCCTCATTACCCCCTTCGCTAGTACGCCGCCTCTGGCTAGAGGTGGAGCTGGATGAAGACGGCCCAACGACAGATTGTCCACTGACAGCAACTGAGAGCGCTCCGGTAGCCATTTTATCTGGTTGGCCGGAAGTAGAAATTGACATCGGCTGCGAAGGTTGTATTTGGTGAGAATGTACATGATATGTAGACGCTAGATTCGTAGCCGGGGCTTGGGATGCTGTGATATCGCGGGAAGTTTGGCTTGCAAGTAGAGCAGGTGAGGCAGAGAGACCAGTAATTATGCCCGGCTGAAGACCAGCTGCAACGACGTGTAACGGAGCTGGAGGTAAAGGTTGACCAGAGCACTTGGGGCAGAACCACTGGGGAACGTCTGGCTCTTTAGAGAGGCCAAGGCAGGCGCTGTAATAAAGGTATATAGGGCCTTAATACAAAATCATGTTGTAGACGTCCAAGGAAATTTTTAAAAAATACGAACGCCTTAAGAGGGAGATGTAAATTTTAAGAACAATAACTCGATTGAAAGCATAAAGATAATAATAAATATTAAAATATAATTGTGAAATAATACTATAATATTAAGTAGTATTTAAAAAAGGTACAAAATATTATTAGTGAATACATTTTGTGCGATCTTAATATTCGTATGAATATAATAGTTCCTATAACTAAGTGCAAATATTAATGTCATATATGATGTCATATAGAGCCCAAGCTTAAGTAAAATTACCTATTCTCACATCTATCAAAACGTGAAAATGCTAATGCGGCAGAGAAATTATCCCAGTATCTGGTGATAATATAAAAAGAAAACTAGTAAGACTTACCCGTGATACCAATCGTCACAACGGTCACAACCGATCATAAGATTGCCATCATCCTCAAGCAAGCAAACAGGGCAGAACCAAATTTGTTCGTCATTATTATTCTGGAAAGAAATAGACGAAAAGTGTGCGTATGTGTAAAAGAGAGAATATACATTATGGTTAATGTAAACAGAGAAAAAGGTGCAGATAGTAAGAAGGGAGAGAGCGAATAGGCCATACAAATGCGGAGAAAGTATAAAAGTATATAACATAAATAAGAGTAGGTCAGACAAAGAACAAAATAATGAGCATTATTAATAATGAGAGAATTATTAGCACCAAATAATAAAAAACTATGAGTAGAATGAGTAAAAATTAATAGTTGGCGGATGTGAGGATCAGGATGGTGTAGCCTTTTGCTTAATCGCAATCTCCTTTAGCTGTATAGCGTTGGTTTGAGCTCATTTTCTACACTTTATGTGAACAATAGGGAGGCTATGTGCAACGCACCTGAACATTGTTTTCATGATGATTTCCAGCATCCTAACAATGGCTTGGTACATCGCACAGAATAACAACTTATCAAAGTGATAAATGAAGTGATCAATTTACTATT